ATGGAGAGTGTTGTGCGCGGTCTCGTTAAGTGTTTTATCTATAAGTTCTCTCAGTTTTATGGTTCAATTTCTAGATTACTTTACTGCATGAATTATATTTCTGGGAATTTCTTTTAAATCATTTTTGTATAGAAATAAAGTAAAGTAAGGATTTAAGATTTAATGGCATTTGGAAAAGGAAGAAATGGAAAGGCAGCTGGTTTTTGAACCGAGTTCTAGGGAAAACTGTCTATGCTGTCCATGCCCATAAAGGCATTCCCAATCTTGTAAATATTTAATATATAATTTCCTACAGCAAACATCTTTATTTGTTCCCTTTCATAAATTTCGCATACATTTCAACCTCAGGACAAAGGCAAAGAATTCCCAGCACCCCTGCCACCACCGTCTGCCACCTTTTGTTGACCTTTTTGACATAGATTGTCATCTAATTAAGGGCCATATGGCTGTCTGGCCCTGCCTGCCCCCCACTTTGCCACACAGTTTTAATTAACTTGCTTTCGACGGGTTCCTTTTTTTTTTTTTTTGGTGTTTCACCTGGGGGCTGCCACATTTTTGTGCCTCTACTTGGACTTTGTGGTAAAATTTACAATGTAATTTCCGCACGGTGGGGACACACTGCATCGCACAAGACTCTGCACTTATTTGCTCTGTGCTGCAACACACTTGAATTTTAATAGAAGATGCTGCTGGAGCGCCACCCAGGAGGGGGCAGGCATATATGGTAGATGGTAGCCATTGGGTGGGGTGTTGGGGTGCGGCATTGGCCTTTAAGTCATAACTCATGACTGCGCGCCTGCAGGTATGCAACGGTTTGCAGTTTTTCGCTCTAAAAATACTATAATAAACCAACAAAAAGGAGAGGGAAAGAAAGCAAGGCCCCACCAGGTGAGGAGGGAAAAGGGTTGAGTAGAAGTGGCAGGCCAATGGTATGGCATGTGATAGCTCAAGAATATATTAACCCTACAATGGCATTAACTTGGATAGTGGCTTGTGTTTTCTCTTTAGATATTTTAATACTTACTTTTGTTAGGGAAAGCAGAAATCAGAAATCTATAAAAGAAAAATCAGCAGAATGGATTTATCCTCAGCTGTTGTCTCGCTTAATCCTTTGATAGCCTGTAGCTATACGATGTATGGGAGAACCACGTTGTCTAGATCATCAATTGAATCTACATTCCAGTCTAGAACATAAACAATATTTTGTGTTATACATAATTATAAATATATTGGGTTCAAAAAGTCAATTAACGTATAAAAAAAATGTATTTCTCAGCGTCTAAATATTAGAACAAAACAATGGAAAATAATACTACAGGATATGTATGTATATCCATTGATTCCCCTTGATATGCTTACACCTAAACCAACATCGTTTTTTTTCTTTGGGTTAAATCCGGGGGAAATGCTTTCAACAAGTTACAAATTTTCGGCGTACGTGCCAGCATTTTATTATGTTTGTCGCGTAGATCTGATCAATGACCTACGTGACACCCTCCCAGGTCCAGGTCCAGGACCAGGACCAGGACCAGGCCCAGGCTTCTCCTCTACCGCGCCATTAGGTTTCAATAGAGATTGAGAAAGCGCTCTGGGTCTCTCTCTCGCTCTATCCCTGGGGCTCTGGGCGCTTTTCCTGCGCTTTTCTTTTTCAATGCACTGGGCGGAAATTGTGGCAAATTGATTGAAACTAAATGGGCGAAAAATATCAGCGCATCAAATTGCCTGTGACAATGATAGAGTGAGAGAGAACGAGAGAGAGCTTGAGCTTCTGAATGGACAGAGACAGGATAGGGAAAATACCTTGAGTGGGAGTGTGAAGGGGGAGGGGGGGTTGCGATTTCCCTGCGCTAACAAGCTGCAAGGCAACACGCAACGCACTTCGAGCTAGACATGTTTTATATGTCAGTCTCAAGTGTCGCCAGCAGACGACACGCCAGCAACAATAACGAGGCAGCGGCCGACGCGGTCTGACTGACTGGTATGTGGCAGATATTCAAGGGATTTCCATCTTTCCCGCTTTAAAGGGAAAAGCTACGCTATGAGCTAAGTTCAAGTACTAGTCTGGAATTTCGAATCAATAAACTCAGCAAGCACAAAAAAAAAAACAATTTAAATATTTTTAAAGGTGATTTTTTTAGGATCATTTAATGGGATTAATAGATAATGATATTTATTGATATTTTTTCGTTAAATGATGCATTTTTGGTAAGAAATTATTGTTCATAGCTGTTTGAAACAGGAAACAAATGTACAAACATATCTAAACAACATTTTCCAAGTCCTAAAGTGTTCTAAATTACCTTGAGGCCAGGTGAAGTCTCCCCTTTAGTCGCTTAGAGTCGCATATTTTTGAGAGCGATGACAGCTAATGAACACACAAATATTTCAACAATTTTGAGCCATCTTCTGGCTACTACTTCTTTGCTGCCTCGTCAGTATAAAAAATGATGTCACTGGCCTCATTGTCCTTGCGGCAGCGAGCGAGCGAGCGGCGCCCCAGAGTCCCATGGAAAAAGTCAGAGTCTCAGACATTCATAAATCTCCACTTCTCTTCTCTTCTCTCCTCTCCTGTCTCTTGTTCCCTCTCTCTGTGGTGCGTGTGGTTTCTGGTTTCGGGAATCTCTCTGGTTTTCTGTTCAGTTCTGGCAGTAAATCTGTAAATTGTTAAGCCAAAACCGAAATTCGGCAACCAAAACTGCAAGACCCAATGACTGCCACTTGGCAACATATCAGAGTACGAGATGGAAGTAAGGGAAAATAAAATATAAAATGGGAATGCGATGGCGCCATTCGAAATTTACGAGTGACACAAATGGCCTTCTTCAGCTCTCTATCTCGCTCGCTCGCTCTCGCTCTCTCTCTCTTGGTGCATTGCAGTTGCAGCACGGAAATGGAAATGCGGCAAATAGCAAAAAAAAACGGCTGGGTTAATCACAAGACAAATTATGAATTTTTTTAAAATGTTTTGGCAAAGTTTCAGCTACAAAAATGTAAGAAAACCCTAGAAAAAAAGCTACAAAAATTAAGAATTTATATTTAGTTTTAATTTAGATTTGGTTTACTGTATGTTGTCTAGGTATAATTTAGAGACCAGAAAATGGTCAAATAAAGCTGGGAATGCTTGGCATAAAATAGTTTTCTGCTGCACTCTGCAGACTTTGCCAGTTTAAAGAACTTAACAACAGATTTAGGCTCCCATAACATAATAGTTTTGGAATCAATCTTCAGGACAAAGTAATTTTTGCTTAAATTAAATTTAAATTTAGAGCAAAATGTATCCAGACATCCAGATACTTGCAGCTTCTACTCGTACCATTAGCAATGTGCAAGTCCCTTGCTGAAAATTCTAAGCCGAAGCTAAAGCTCTTTAAAGGCACATACGGCACATCTCTGAGGACAATCCGCAAACAAAGCAGCAGCAGCAGCAACAGCAGCCTGTCCCCCGATTGTTAGGCCCGAGACGAATCGAGGAAAAGAAAAACCAAGAAGGCAAAAAAACAAAAAGCATTTGCCACATATTGTCTCCTGCTTCATGATGCCAGGACGTTGGCACAGTTTGAGCCTTCGATCTCATACACCAATATGGGCGAAATATTATATGTATGCTCGTGTCAGCACAAACTAACAACAGCAGAAAGAATACATATACGAGTACGAGTACGAGCTCCAATGTAGCATGTATCTGAACCCCTCGAAAATTGAAGTGACAAAGTGTGTGGTGGCGGTGGCGGTGGCAGCGTCTTGCGTCTTGCCTTACAGCCGCCCAAAAAAGCAGGTCCTAAAAAGAAACCTGGCGACAACTACGGCTACGACTATTGTTAACATGAAGAATATTGTGCATGACAGGAGTCGACAATGTGCGGGGTCAGAATTGATGTGAGAGCAGCGGGTAGGTGGCGGCGACCTGTGCTATGGATACAACGAGCCGTATTTGTATTTGCCACTGGAAACAATAAATCCACTCGAGGCGCAACCCCAAAACGAAATGATGGCAACACACAAGCACACAATAACCCGTCGGGCAGGCAACAAACAAACAAAGAAAAAGAAGAAAGTGGAAACACTCGAGAGCCAGCCAAAGGATAAGTCAAAAGAGAGGTTCGGGCTATCATTGGACATTTGAATTATCGCCAAAGTTGAACTATGATTTGGTTTACACTTTGACCCAAGTCCAAATGAACCCTGTCCGGCGTTTGACTTGACTTTGGGGTTCACTTGTGAATATTAATTGATTCGATAGCTAGCAGAAGGACCAAAAGGTGACAAAAGGTAGCCTAAAGTAGGTGACATAAAAGGAAATCTCACCCAAAAGGCAATCCCTTCAATTCTGTGACAGAGCATTCCATCTTCGTTGAGCATAATCTTTAAGTATTCGTCTGTTTCCTTGGCAATTAGCAATCACTCGACTGGCGACTGGCGACTGACGACTGGCGACTGCGGAATGAAAGTTTTCCCGCATAGCTAATTTATTAACCACTAATTGCATTTGGCACTGGAAAATCAATTAATCAATCTGCATACAATGCCACACGCACACTCCACGCACACACACACATTTGAGTGCTTTGATTAATTGCGCAAAATGGTGAATAAAGTGAATCAAAATGCATTTTCAGAGTGGACAAAGTCTGTCCCACAAGTCAAATCAATCTTCATTGCTGACTGGTTTCTGGTTTCCTTCCTTTCTGGCTCTCTCACTTTCTGACTTTCAGGCATTTGCTTTCGACCTTTGCTTCATTTACCCCACAGCTATCCTTCTTTATTGTCCTGTTTTTTTTTTTTTTTTGTTTGTTTGTCTTTGTGGCAACCAAAGGTTGGCTATAACTGTCAGCAGCAGGTCTGTAGGGGTTAGAAACGGTATTTTGCGGAATGATTGAGTTGAATAAACAGTGCAGATTGGGATAGAAAAGTTGCAGCTAGCAGCTTAAGACATCTATAATATAATGCAGGTAAATGTGTATAAAAATAATTAAAGTAATGGAAATGATTAAGTTATGATCTCAGGGCTCTCCCTGCCGAGTATGGGGCATCGAATAGATCAGCTTGCTCCAGAAATTGGGATCGTCTCGCTTGAGGTACGTGCTCAGCACCATGTAGGCGCGCAGTTCGCTGTCCAAATCATCAAAGTTCTCCACCTCGGGATAGAGGACCACAATCAGTCGCTTGCATCGATCCTGGGAGGTGGCATGGAGAGCGAGACGGAACTCCAGACGCCCCCAAGTGGACTTCAGGAAGTTGTTTGTCATCAGGATGATGATGCGCCGCGAGTCCTTCACGGATTGGCTGATGCACTCGGGAATGGACTCGCCCACGAGCCAGTCGCGCAGATAGAAGCAGAGTCGGAACTTCTGGCCGCCATTCTCCAGTCTCTCCACGAACTCCCCAATCAGTTCCTCGTCCTTGTGGGTGAAGGATAGAAATGCATCGAACTTCTTGCGTTCGTCGAGTTCCCTCCGGGCGGCGAGGCTCAGGCACACGTCGTGCTCGTAGCACCAGATCAGGAGGGGCTGTTTGAAGTAAATAATTAGGTTTATGGTCAGGACCATCAGCATGAACGAAACGGTGAGGGTCACATAGTGCACGAGGCCAGAGGGGCATATGTCACTCTCCTCTGTGTCTATCAGGAGGTTCCCTGGGGTGTCCCCGCAGGTGATATTTGTAGCATCTCCGATTCTGGAACCTCCTCCCTTCACGAATCCCAGGAAATCCTTCTCCTCGCAAGTGCAAGCCCAGGGATTTCCAGACAGGAATAGCCTCAGATCTGACGATTCCTTTCGCCTTGCAAGGAACTCTAGAGTCTTTCTCCTTATGGCAGATATTCTGTTGTTTCGAATGTCCAAGTAGGTGAGGTTGTGCGGCAGATGATGGAGTGCTGTCAGTCGATTGTTGGCCAAAAAGAGTCGCCCCACATTCCCGTACCCTGGCCACGTATCATTGGGCAATGCGCGGAGTTTATTGTTCTGAAATAAAAGCGTCGTCGGACGATCCTTGGGCGTGGGTAATGGGGGTATCGCCGAGAGGCCTTCGCCACTGCAGTCAACGATGAATTCCGTGGGATAGGAGGTAAGCAGGCAGCTACAAGCCTCGGGACATGGGCCGCGAAAGTCTGTATAGTCCAATGGCGCTATATATTTCATGCCCTCGCGTTTTCCCAGAAAGGAAATCAGGAATCGTATCTCCCAAAAGCAGCTCCATGGATTTTCCGAAAATCGATTTCTTTCCGCACGACTCTGAAGGAAATGAAGGATTTCTGCATCTTTCTTCCCCCTAAAGTTCCCAATCAGGTAGCTGTACTCCTGAAGGACCTTGTCCTCGCAGTCGGAAAACCACGAGTTTCCAAAGTGACGGACGGCAATGTGTTTGGCCAGATATTCGACCACCTTCTTGTCGAGGGCTGTAATGTTGTTATAGGAAAGGCTGAGATGTTGCAGCCTCTGTGGCAGCTGGTGAACGCCGAGGCTAGTGATCTTGTTGGCAGCCACATCGAGAGTCTGCAGTTGGTTATAGCCGGGTATCTCCATGCCATTGCTGGGCAGAGCTCTGAGATTGTTGTTACTAAAAAGAAGCACTGGCTTGCCCTCCATCGCAGTGGGTAATGGCGGTATTTCGGTGAGATTTCGGTTTCTGCAATCTATTTTAAACTCGCTGCTCCGTTGCTCATAGTAGCATTGACATTTGCCAGGACATCTCCTGCCGTCTGGGCCGCGCGAGAACTTGCAATCGTATTTCCAAGTCTCTGAATCACACACGAATGCTGTTAGATTCTCATGTGGCTCATAATTAACAACATTAACGAACTTCAACATGGAATAGTTTTCGAAATATCTCAGTTCCACTTTGACCTGCTCAGTGTTCATGATGAATATCTCTAGGTTCCTCCGCAGAGTCTCAGAGCTGAAAGACAAATCAAAGGAATAACTCAAATACACTCATGGACATACATATTCATACGAACCTCAAGAAGCTTTGATCCTCGACAGTTGTGTTAATAAAATTCAATATTTTCAAGCCTTTTAAATCTTCCAAAGTGTGCGCTGTGAGATTTTCCATCTTGAATCCTTGAAAAGCGAGCAGCCTTAATTGTGCTTTGCCTCTGAAAATACCATCTTCCATCCAGAACTCGGGAGTTTGGGACTCTTGCCCATGGCAAATCTGAATAGTCTTCAAGTTGTTCATCGTTCCCCGAATATAAGTGTTTGCGGCGTGGGAATCTATGGAATTCCCACTGGACAAAGTGTAGATTAAAGTCAAATCAGAAGGTCCCTCCATTAAACTGCTTTCAGTTTCAAGTACTATCAGATCTTTGGAATATATTTCGTACTTTAGGACTGTGGCAACGCCAAGATCTCGAATATAATCTATTCCAGGACGAAATCGAACATCCTCGGAGCTCGGGATTCCAGTTACTGTTAGGCTTTCGAGTTTCGTTGCCCTTTCATCGGTAATGGCGGTCACATTCGACACTGCAGACCCTCGACTCTCCTTCCACTTGATCCTTAAATGTCCCGCTTGCAGATCCAATTGAAAATGATTGGTTTCGATTCGATTATTCGATTTGAAGCACATTCTATCATTGAAAAAGCCAAAGCAAGATCCCCGACAGTAGATTTTACAGTAATCCTCTCTGATGTGCCACAATGAACCCGCCTTGGGGATCGTACAGAGATATAGCTCTGTGCCCAAGACAACAGCAAGAAGTGCCAATATATTCCGCGACATATTCCGCGGCAATGCAACTGCAATCGATGCTGGTTTATTATACACTAATTAATGTGCTGCACAATCGCTTCAAAGTTAATGTTTAATTTCCCAACAAGTCCTTGGGGACTTGAAGCATTTTAAAAAGTAGACGACTCCCATAAGAGTAATTTTTACAGTGTTATCCGCTAATTTACGTACATATGTATGTATGTACATGCCCTCACGTAATACATACATGTGTACATATTTATGTATAGAAATACATTCGATGCAATCGAGAGTATAGTTTTAGTTATTTAATCAAAGAATGCACTGAAAATAGTTTAAAATATTTCAGCTACAGAGACGATCCGCACGGAAAGAATGAATTTCTATGGCAATTCCATAATTTATATGCAGAATAAAGAGTGCTGTATAACATCCTTGGATATGCCGCCATGTGCGTTGATTTTCTGAATACCCTTTCATTTAGAAAGGGGATACACACTTGCCTTCTAACCTAATTAGGGCAGAGTTTTGTGGCCTCTTTGTTGATTTATGCGCTTCGAACAGTCATAATTTAGCAGCCAAGGGCATGGCATGGCATGGCCTGGCATGGCATGGAGGAGGACAAGGACCATGTCTTAGATGCCCCAATGAACTGAGCTCAACATTTTCCTGATTTCCCCGACTGACGCTTAAATTATGCAAGTTAATTTGCAGCTGCTGCAGCTGAAAATGATGACAAGAAATTCCGCACGCACACACACACACACACACACTGCCTGCTATGGCAGGACTTTGGCAGCCCAACAAGAGTTATGTCCCACAGACCGGAAGTGGAGTCGACATAAATTGCGGTTAGAGCTAGTCCTGCCTGCCCCCATCAGGACTCCCGCCGGCAGCCGGCAGCCGGCAGCCCACAGAGCCCACACAGCCCACACAGCCCACAGCCCACGGTGGCTATTTAATACATTACGACAGCCATTCAGTGCATGGGGCAGAGCGGAGTTGCATCTGCAACTGAAGTGAGGGAGTTTTGCTCTTGGTCTTGGTCTTGGTCTGGAGCTGCAGCTGGAATTGAAAGTCAGATTGTCAGATTGTGTGCTGGTTGGCCCCTGCCTTCCACTCTGTATCGTGTTTGCACATTCGCACAATTCTCAAAGGGCAAAGGGCCCAAGGGACAGGCCGGTTGGTTGGTGGACGTCAAAGTCGGTGTGGATCTTGATTTTCTTTATGGGGATTTACAGTGTGACTGCAAAGTGGGAACTTGGATTTATGATGTGTAGAATATTATTTAAAATAAAATTAAATAATAGAATTTAGTGTGGGAAATCAAATAAAATGATTAGTCATTTTTCATTCATTAAAGACGGGCCTGTAAAGCAGAGAGTCGGCTGGCACGCTCTCTCGACATTTATATATTTTTTTAAACATCTGGCATTCAGTACAATTAAAAACGAACAAATTAATCTTTCTTATATGTACATATGGTTGTATTATCAGTCATCCAAACATCGAATAGAATCTACTTGGAAATAAAAACTTTTAAAATTATTTCTGAAAAATTAAAAATATTTTTAAATATTTTCCAAAAAGCTGAAACCATATTTTAGTATGCAATATTTAAGCCCAAAATCGATTTTATTATTAAAGCTATTTATTATAGACAGCTTTGGCTATTTTTCTTTCAGTAAAAACTCTCTTTGGCTCCACTGTGCCTCCTGCCCAAGTCTCATGTCTATAAATTTGCTTAGCAGCCCTCGAATAGCAAACAAAGCTGGCGAAACTAAATTCTGAATCGAAAATGATTTTGAAATATTACTCAGGTGAGAGCACAGGAGCAGAGGTTAGAGAGAGAGAGAGAGAGAGAAGATAGCTTAGGGCGATCGATCCAAGAGAGTCATGTTAAAATTGAAAATTTATTATCTAACCAAAAGTCAAGTCCATATAGCAGATTGAGGCTTGTGTCTTGTATATTTGATTGATTTTTGAGCATCGTGTGTCTCTGTAATGAGACAGCCTGGATGGCAGAAGTTAAATTGTTTTTCTTTCATGCACCGCTCAAGCACCCCGAGAGCCCCTCCCACTGTCAAGTGCATAAAGCTTTTGCTGGAAAAACACAAACAGACAGGCGGAAAAGCCAACTTGTTGTCGTGTGTGTCTGTTGTTTTGTGGTAGTTTTCATTTCATTTACAGCTACAGCTACAGCTACAGTACCAAGTGGCAGAATGAGAGCCTGCAAGAGATGCACGTTGCCGCTTGATTTCCCCCAGGTGCAGGACGACCCACACCCACCCAGCCACCATATGGAAAGGCCCTGCACTTCGTACATTTTCATATTTTCACTGGACCATCGCCAAAACAGATAAGAACACATAAACATAGGCGCATATACTCATACTCTCTGACCATTGCCACTATGCTGCCGGTTCTGCTCCACATAATCCACATAATCCACATGTGTGGCTGATTTTGATGGGCTCTGGGCTTATTTTGCGGTTTCAATTGGGCTTCTATTTTTGTTTGGGTTGTAAATTGCATTTAATGGCCTGCTGACTGAAGATCGAGTGAGTTTCGATTTGAGTTCTGTTTAAAAATAATTTCTATCAACAAAATGACTCTTATCGCAAGCAAAGTTTCTGCCAAGAATTTCCTGAAGTCGTTTCATCATCAAGTGGGAAAACACCCATATCCCCAAGGACTTGTTGGGAAATTAAACATTAACTTTGAAGCGATTGTGCAGCACATTAATTAGTGTATAATAAACCAGCATCGATTGCAGTTGCATTGTCGCGGAATATGTCGCGGAATATGTCGCGGAATATATTGGCACTTCTTGCTGTTGTCTTGGGCACAGAGCTATATCTCTGTACGATCCCCAAGGCGGGTTCATTGTGGAACATCAGAGAGGATTACTGTAAAATCTACTGTCGGGGATCTTGCTTTGGCTTTTTCAATGATAGAATGTGCTTCAAATCGAATAATCGAATCGAAACCAATCATTTTCAATTGGATCTGCAAGCGGGACATTTAAGGATCAAGTGGAAGGAGAGTCGAGGGTCTAGAGTGTCGAATGTGACCGCCATTACCGATGAAAGTGCAACGAAACTCGAAAGCCTAACAGTAACTGGAATCCCGAGCTCCGAGGATGTTCGATTTCGTCCTGGAATAGATTATATTCGAGATCTTGGCGTTGCCACAGTCCTAAAGTACGAAATATATTCCAAAGATCTGATAGTACTTGAAACTGAAAGCAGTTTAATGGAGGGACCTTCTGATTTGACTTTAATCTACACTTTATCCAGTGAGAGTTCCATAGATTCCCACGCCGCAAACACTTATATTCGGGGAACGATGAACAACTTGAAGACTATTCAGATTTGCCATGGGCAAGAGTCCCAAACTCCCGAGTTCTGGATGGAAGATGGTATTTTCAGAGGCAAAGCACAATTAAGGCTGCTCGCTTTTCAAGGATTCAAGATGGAAAATCTCACAGCGCACACTTTGGAAGATTTAAAAGGCTTGAAAATATTAAATTTTAGCAAAACAACTGTCAAGGATCAAAGCTTCTTGAGGTTCGTATGATCTGTGGATGGTTTCTTCTTGTACATTTTTTTACATGTTGTTTTAGTTCAGAGAATCTCCGGAATACATTGGAGAACTTTGTTATGGGCGGCACAGAGATTGCGATTGAAACGAGATATTTTGAGAACTATTCGCAACTAAAGTTTATTGCGGGTTCAAAATTTGAGCCCCATGAAAATGTCACTGCTTTTATGTGTAAAGAGAATTTTCTGTATTGCATGTTCACACGCGGAGTCCATGGGACGGCGTTGTCCGGTCGAATGCAAATGCAGATATGAGCCAAACGAAGGCGAGTTTATAATTGATTGTAGCGAACGAAATTTGAACGAAATTCCGCCCTTGCCAAGCCCGATTACAGGATTTACAACGCTTAAATTTCGCGGTAACAATCTCAGGCAACTGCCCAGCCACTCGACCTCCGGCTATGATCACGTGAATCGATTAGATGTCTCTGAAAATAATTTACATAGCCTACGGATAGAGCAGCTGCCGGAACATCTTGAGCGTCTGAACATTGCCTACAACAACATCTCCACACTCGATAAATACCTGGTGAACTATCTATACAAAAATCTATCCATCTCCCTAAATAATTATGGCAATCTGTTCATGCCGTATTGCGATGAGAGGCTATTTTCAGATTTCGACATTTTCTTCTCCAAGTTTCGGGAAAGAAGCGACAGCCACATCCGCAATTTTCTCACAGAACATGCACGAAGCATACAACTGACGGACGATCCCTGGTATTGCTTCTGGAAGATGGCAGGTGTCCTGTCGTCCTCCAGTCGGAGGGTACAAGTGGGCTACGAGAGGATATACGCTGTGGCCCTAGAGTTTTCCCAGTACCAAGGAGACTGTCCGGACTGCTGCACTTGCCTCAGAAATTCGTACACCATGGAATTCATCGTGGACTGCAGGGACGAAGGCCTCTCGGCGATACCACCACTACCTATGCCGACTTACGGCCAAACCGCCCTTTTATTTCAGAACAATAAACTCCGCGCATTGCCCAATGATACGTGGCCAGGGTACGGGAGTGTGGGGCGACTCTTTTTGGCCAACAATCGACTGACAGCACTCGATCATCTGCCGCACAACCTCACCTACTTGGACATTCGAAACAACAGAATATCTGCCATAAGGAGAAAGACTCTAGAGTTCCTTGAAAGGCGAAAGGAATCGTCAGATCTGAGGCTATTCCTGTCTGGAAATCCCTGGGCTTGCACTTGCGAGGAGAAGGATTTCTTGGGATTCGTGAAGGGAGGAGGTTCCAGAATCGGAGATGTCACAAATATCACCTGCGGGGACACCCCAGGGAACCTCCTGATAGACACAGAGGAGAGTGACATATGCCCCTCTGGCCTGGTGCACTATGTGACCCTCACCGTTTCGTTCATGCTGATGGTCCTGACCATAAACCTAATTATTTACTTCAAACAGCCCCTCCTGATCTGGTGCTACGAGCACGACGTGTGCCTGAGCCTCGCCGCCCGGAGGGAACTCGACGAACGCAAGAAGTTCGATGCATTTCTATCCTTCACCCACAAGGACGAGGAACTGATTGGGGAGTTCGTGGAGAGACTGGAGAATGGCGGCCAGAAGTTCCGACTCTGCTTCTATCTGCGCGACTGGCTCGTGGGCGAGTCCATTCCCGAGTGCATCAGCCAATCCGTGAAGGACTCGCGGCGCATCATCATCCTGATGACAAACAACTTCCTGAAGTCCACTTGGGGGCGTCTGGAGTTCCGTCTCGCTCTCCATGCCACCTCCCAGGATCGATGCAAGCGACTGATTGTGGTCCTCTATCCCGAGGTGGAGAACTTTGATGATTTGGACAGCGAACTGCGCGCCTACATGGTGCTGAGCACGTACCTCAAGCGAGACGATCCCAATTTCTGGAGCAAGCTGATCTATTCGATGCCACATGGTACTCGTAAAGCGCAACGTTGGGTCAAATGGAGTGCACATGCAGATGAGGTCATTGAGTTTACTTAGACAATGGAATAAATATGCGAATAATTGTTGAATTTTGTTGTTTTTTTTTTTTTTATTTGGAAGCTGTAGAGTAGCTCTACAAAAGTCATTTGCTTTAAATGGGGGAAAGTGCTCTGCACGAGCATCAATCTTGAGTTTCAAAAGAAGAATTTGCATAATTTATGAAGCAATTCTGGGGCTTGCGATTGCTGGATTGCTGCCACAGGAAGTGATTTAAGTGGCTGTCTGATTGTCTGATTGTTCCTCTCCCTACGCGCTGCTGCCCCGCCTAATGAGGAAACTAGAAACTCATTTCTGTCTCCCAATTGATGGTTGAACTTTTATTTCTGGTTTATTTTTATACATATTTAAGCGTCTGGCTTCTATGCTAATATGTGGAATTCTTGGCTTAGCTTCTGTGTTTTAAAAGGAGTTGCCCCCCTTTGTCACCCCGCGGAAAAGTGCCAGCAAACAGTCTTAATCCACTAAACCAAAAGACTTATCCACCTATTGATCTTTCACTCCACGTAAAAGACACAATCAAACCACCACAGAGGAATCTTTGCGTAGTTATTTGTCTGTTATCCTGTATCTTCTTTTGCTTCGGTTTAAAAGCCAAATCACAGAAAAAATAAAATAAAAATCATTGCAATCACAGAGCAGCTGCGATTTCGATGGCTGCATTTTGTAGCATTTTTTTTTGGCCCGAATTTTTGTCACACACACACACACACACAAGGGAATATAGAAAAAATGTCTCTCTTTTTGACCAAATGCACACACAGAGTTTTCTCTCGATTTTATTTTTTTTTTATTTTTTTCATGGAGTGAAGGCTGCGTGAAGTGAAGAATTAATTACACTAATTGACTTTGAGAGCTAACAAACCGAATACGCGCTGCTGCGCTGCTGCTGTGACCCTCACAGAGGCAAATGGAAATGGCAATGGAAAATGCCATAAAAACTGAGCCACAAAAATGCATGCAAAAGAGTTCGTTAGAGATACAAAATCTGTTAAAGGAATGCCAATGGCAGTACATTTTTAGATGTGAAAATATTGATTGGAATATACATACATATATTGCTATCTGGGCAGCGCTTCAAGAGCCGCTTACTAAAGTTAGAACTTGCATGTGGTACCTTACCTTATATTTGATATGAATATACTCCACTGTTATATGCCATAACAATATTGGATGCATCTGTAAATTATATTTGATACATTTTCATACATTTTTTAACGCTATGCGTGTCAATGCCTTCATTGATGATGTTTTAATCAAATGATAAAAAATATGCAAGCATTTATGTATGTAAATAGAATAAAAAGAAAAGACCTATAGCCACGAATAAATGCAGTGGCGCAAATAATGTACATTTTAAATACTTGTAGTTTTATTTTTAATTAGGAAAATATATCGACATTGAATACAAATTTTGGGTGTGTGGTATTCGATCGAAAACTGAATGCCGGGCAATCAAAACGTAATATTTGTGTTACAAAAGCAAACCCAAAAATGTAGAGCCACATGTATGCACGTATCCCCAGAGCTTTTACCTTCCAATTAGCAGACTGGAAAATGGATGGTGCACCAAATTGTCATATCGATTGCCATATTCACATATTTGATGGCTGATTCCCTCACAAAATTCCCATGCTTGGGGAGCAGGAGAATCCGCATTAATTACAAACCCCCCCCCCCCGGCGAACTTCCGCCCGAAAAGCCTGTGGGGAAATCATCAGCGCAAATTGTCGCAGAAAAACCAGCAAAATGGTAGCCAATGGGGTGGGGTGATGTGGGGAGAAATGTGAGAAAGGAGAAACAGAAATTGAATTTCGGGAGCTGTTGCCGCAAAAATGCTTTTAATGCGAAACCAAATGAAATGAAGTATACGACATGTGTGGCAATGGGCAAAAGGAAAATGATTCCAGTCATCGAGCGTATATCATAATTAATGTTAATTGCCTGATTGAATGGCCGTGTATGGCCATATGCAACGATAATTCCAATCCCAATACCAATCGGAATATCCAACGCCGCTGCCACACTGCCACTGCCACACTGCCACTGCCATTGCCATTGCAGAGTGCCACACTTCAATGCCATTATTTCGTATCCGTTTTAATATTAAGTCGCCAGACAGACTGACTGACGACTGACAGCTTCCTTTCTCGAACGCCGTCCATCCACAGATGTCCTTGTCCGGCATTTCCACGATGCTTATTTCACTCGACTGAGCAATGAAAATTGGTCGCTTATTGCCTTGCTCTGCCACTTCTCCGCAGGCACTGAAGCTGCAGCGCTCTGATGCTGGCCCATTGTGGCTTTCATTTACATAATTTCACGGACATTCCGTCAATCAAGGCGAATCAAGTTGCACTTCTTCACTCTGCCAGTTGCGTAATTCTTTAAGCTATAACTGAAGTGACATTAACTTGCATGAAGCACACACATTTCTGTTTGTTTTGCTGCTCTTTTTTTTGGTGTGTTTGTGTGTGTGGAAATAAATATAATCCACAGAGCAAACTTTTTCAAGAAACCAAACTGTTGAGCAATCATCTGTTCTTAGTTGTATTTCTCACTCCTTCATAGTTGAAGTTTTATTGGGATTGGGATTTATGCAAAACCATTTCGGTGTGCCCTAAAATCAGGAAATCAGTACGTATGATCCAATCCAGTAAATTTTGATAAGTAAAATGTGCAGATCAAAGCTCAGTATACGATGAAGTAAGAGTATAAGAGTAAGTAAAAGTATAAGAGCTATTAAAAGTATAAGAGTAACTGCAAGTATAAGAGTAGGTAATAGTATAAGAGTATACTTGTTTAAATTTAGTATTCTATTAGTATTCTAATATTTATGTTTGTACATATTTGGACTTATACTTGCTACTTATACTTACTCTAATACTACCTCTTATATTTGATACTTATACTTACATTTATGATTTATAATTAACTATAATTTAATATTAATTATACCTATGCTACGTACTCTTTTATATTTTCTTATACCCACTCTTATACTTATACTTAGTATTATACTTATACTTATACTTAGGTACAAATTTGTAAACGCTTCATTATCTATACTTTAGTAAAATAAAGTTACTTAAGGTATGCGCAACACCGCATCATAGACTTTCAATAGACATACTTATATTTATTCTCCTACACATTTGTCTATCTTTTTTTTTAATTTTGCTTAAATATAAAATAAAGTTTAGGCTCACAAAATTGCATTTACTATTCACGGTACTCTGCTAATCAACAAGAAGTTGCTTTCGCAAATCAATTGACAAGTGATGTTTGGTGTTTGGGGTTTGGTGTTTTGGGTTTGGTGTTTCGGGTTTGCTTCAATGTTCAATGGAGTTTTGGTGTCATTATCGATTGGTGTCTGGGCAATTAGTGGAGAGACTTGTTAAGTACTTACTTGTTTGTTGTTGGCTAATGGCCAATGTTCGAACCCTCAACAGCAATGTCCGGATGATGTGTGACCTCCATCTACGTTAGAAATTCGATTTTGCCATTAGACAGGCAACTTTTATGTGGTTTGGCGTGTCTGAAAAGTTATGGCATTAAAATACAAGACTCTACCAGAGCTTATCTAACAAGCTGTCCTGCCAGCAGCACATTCCATCACACAAAAACTAATCCGTTAGCAGAGACTGACTGGCAGGACTGTCGCTGGCAGGTAATTGATAATTTCCATGGCTTCTGCATGGCATCATTCAACGGAGGTATGTAGGTTCTTTAGGCTAAAGCTATTTATGCCACATGCATTTTAGATACTTGCATAGATACGCACAAAAGGGCAGGCAAAAACCTATGGAAAATATTCGTCTGTTTTGTTTCTTTTGGGCGTGGCTGTTCTATTACTTTTGCGTTTCGCCCACAGAAGGTCGCTGCTCCTTCGTGGTTGCACAAAGATAAGGCGAAGGAAGCACAGCATCATCATTATGCCAGAACAAAGAACTTGAAACCAAATTGCACTTTAAGCAGGCCATTAAATGTGGTATGAGTGCGAGTATGTGTACACACTGTGTACTGTTTGACATGTCAGTGCACCTGCCCTGCCCTGTGCACCTGCCCTATGCACCATGCCTGTGCAGCTGTGCACTATGTGCTAATTACTTATTTATATCGCTCAAAATTACACACGACACGAAGCAGCAGCACCACCAGCAGCAGCAGCAGCAAGCAGGCATACTCGTTGCATACTTTGCGGCGGCCCAGCGGCTAAACATGCACATACATATGTATGTATGTGTGTGTTTGTGCAATGAACATTTTTCAAGCATCTCCCAGGTCTGGTCTGCCAGGTTGTTGCTCTTCCCCAGGGCCGAGCCTCTGCTCTCTAGCTCGTTCTCTGCATCTCTCAATCAGTTCCCAATTGACCATGTAATGTGGCTCTTCTTTTCGGGTTTATTCTTACAGATAGTTTGCTTTCAGTTCTTTCTTCTCTTTCTGGCAGCTACGTGAGCATTTTACCTGAGTGCTTCCAAACAGATTTACTGAAAAGAGTTTTCCAATTTACACAATTTTCTGCCACTTAAACTCGGATGCAAAACGGTTTCAGATCTACCGGATAATAATTTACTTTCATTAATGCCAAAACAAAATATTTGTTGGCTAAGCCTTTGGTATTAGCACAACAGAAAATAAGTTTATCCAAGTGTTTTGATGGACCAACCTGTCTGTCAGGAGCTCTCAACTCCTGCCACACACACACACACACACCTACACTCACATTCCAGGTGTGACACAGGCACTGGCACTGGCACTGGCAGTGCTTCTGTTTCTGTTTCTCTTATTGTTTTGTGTCACTTTCAGTGTCTGCCACATATCCAGATGCCGCAGGCAGGCAGGCTGGGGCTTGGACTGGGACTGGTAGCTTTCTTTTTGTATTTGCAGTGTCAACGACACTTGAAAAAAAAACCAACATTGCTCATAATTTGTACAAAATGCAACTGACAGCCACCGCAGTAGTCACCGATGTTATGATATGATATGATGTGTTTGTTGATGGTGATGTTTG